CTTCCTCTTCCGCGCTACTTTTGGTAAGTGATTTCACTTCTTGGTTTCGATCTGAGAGAAACTAGGAAATTTTCAATAAGAAATCCCCACAAACGACGCCAAATTGTTTGACTCAAAAGATGTTAAAACCTTTTTGAACAAATCAATCAAAGATGAAGGGGTAAATCGTAGCCAAATATAATTAATTCCAGATCAAAACATAAATGATAATGAACGCATATGGGGCGAAAGAAACATGATCGATCTTATTAAGATTTAACATTGTCTTCCCCATCCATGGAAGAGAAAGTAAATTTACATGTATTCTTTGGGGTCATTTCCCCGTTTTCTGAGATACAAGAAAGAGGCTTTTTGCCCTCTCTCTTGGGAGAAAGTGCAGAAGCCCCCCTTTTGAGAGCTTTTTCTTGGCTATATATAGTTGAGGTCTTTTTACTCGTTGCTTGACTCAACCCTTTTTTGTCACTAATGTATCCTGATCTTGACTTTATGTGTTGTCTTTTCTGATTTGTCGGATGTCTCAGAGGAAAAAATGGAGCGGACTATATTGACTTTAACCGCCTTATTACCGAGGCGGGGTGTTGGGCGACCTGATTGTGGTGGTCAGATTTTGACCAATACACGCGAGGTCCGGAAAAAAAACGGACTATAATAGCGGGTAGAACTACGCTGACGAAAACATTAGCATTGTCTGTCTACATAATTTAAAACCTTTTAGTAACTAGCTTACATAATGTACAAACAAAGAATAGGATCTTTTAAAACAAGAATTATGGTCTCGCATATAAGTGTAGAGATAGAAGGGGAGCCACTAGTAAAGTTACTGTTATGTGACCGGGAGGTCACGTGTTCGAGCCGTGGAAATAATCTCTTGCAGAAATGCAGGGTAAGACTGTGTACAATAGACCCTTATGATCCGACCCTTCCTTGAACCCCGTGCATAGTAAAAGCTTAGTGCACCAGACTGTTTTTTTTTTTAAATAAATAAATTATATAAGTGTAGAGATGGAGAGAGATGTGACATAATCCTTCGACTTGTGTGGCCCGCTGAGCAACAGAATTCTGAAAATACGAAATGGATAAAGAAGTTTGGATTTTCCTCCTATGCTAAAATCTAAGACGAATAGCTTTAAGTCCAAATATCTCTATTCACTATCACTTCATAGAACAATTATTGTTCAAAATATGAATTAGTAAAAACTTTTTTAAACGAGATAGTCACGCAATTTATATTTTTTTAGCCGAGGATCTATCGAATATAATTTTTCTATTTTTACAAGATAGAAATAAAGTCTGTGTACGTATTACTCTCCTCAAATCCCACCTATAGAGACTATACTGAATTTTTTATTATTGTCATTGAGATAGTCACATAATTTAATACGACACTGATACAAGAAGTTTTAGGGGATATGTGCAGTGGGAAAGCCTATAATTTTCGCTCACTCCTCTATAATATATTTCTCCAATATTTCTTTTCTTTTTTCAACATAGAGAGAGAGATCAAAACTCCTTTTTCGACAGGCAAGTTGGTCTTCACATGGTACCACTTGACATGTTATCTTGATATTGATCTAAGGTAATAAATTATATATTTTTCCATTACTTTAATAATGTAAAAAAATATTTATTTACATTAAATCAGTTGAATATAAATCATTTGCACATTATATAAATGGCATTATTCGCTTAACCATGAACCGTGTTCGGTGCACAAAGTATTCCGCGTTCATGCATGGTCCGAAGAAGGGTTGCACCCTAAGGGATGTGATGCAAACAATCTACCATAATGCAAGCATTAGTGACTGCTTCCACGGCTCGAACATGTGATCTATAAGTCACACAGAGACAACTTTAACGTTGCAAGCATGGTTACGTGATATATCTTGTTACTTTAATTTGTAACTTTTAAGGTTAAATTTTTAATGTGGGTAAGGATAAATATTTTCCCCTAAACTTGGAAACCTTTGTACTATTCTTGTTTTATTCTAGTGGAATCGTTTCTTATCTTACTTTGATACTTTATATTCTCACAAATTGTTAATTTTTGCAAGGAATTGATAGTAGATGCCTAAAGTTTGTTTCATTTTCGTCCTTTTTATTAAAATGTAATGCATATGAAAAACGTTTCAAGTACTAAATAGATGGTCCACCAGAAAATAAGAGTTTTGAATCTTATCTTTGTTTTGGCATATGATACGAAATAAAAAAGGTGAAATTTGCTAATTTTGCTATTTGTAGATTATTAATGATTTAGTATTAGGACCAAAAATGTTAAAAGGACCAATTGTTCAACTATATTTGACTCAATTGAATGAAATCACATAGAGTACGTATATAAATAAATAAGGGATATTATCACTTTTAACATGCACCATAAATTATTTATATTCGATAGTCGAAAAAGTGTATAAAATTTGTATAATTTTTGTATATAACATACATAATGTATATATATACAAAAAATATACAAATTTTATATATTTTTCGACTATTATTTTTACAGCGGCTATACGGTGTCATTTTTTCAATAAATAATCATTCATTAGATGATAAAATTTTGTCGTATTAGAAAAAAGAAAAGAAAAAATCAAACGGTTACGTTATATACGTATGATATTACCTCGTATTGTCTCGTTTTCACAAACGTGGAAATATTAAATAAGAAAACTAAATTAGATACATTTATTTTATTTTCTTCTTTATACTCATCAAAAAAGGTAAATTCATAATTCTCTTAGCTAATTTGTCATTGGAATAAAATCCAGGAATACGAGTTCCGGATTTTCTTTCTTTTGTTATAGGAATTTACCAAAACAAGAGTGTGGGATTCTTTTGAGAGGATGAGTGGGTAAGATGGAGGCAAATTTCAAATTTTAAAATGATTTCACATAATATTTTTAATTGTTACTATATCATTTGAACCAAAATTAGTAAGTAAATATTGTTATGGATTTCGTAGAACTTAGATATATGGACGAAAGATAACTGGAATAACTCTGTACAAATTAGTTTACATAAATTTTTAAATTCTTTATTTTTGTATCATTGGAACAAAAAATTAGTAAATACTAACTTTATTTTGGTCCAAAATATATATCCTTTTACATAATCTTTTTTTTTTTTTTTGGTAATAAAGACATATATTAAAAACACATACTAAGAGTCATTACATAGTACATTACAAATGGGAACTGTTCTAGGACACGTAGTTCCTAGCTTGTCCCTTTCCAAAATAGAAATAACAAAAGTAGGAGGAATAAGATAAGTTGTTAAGCTTCCAAGTGTTGGTAAACAACTTCCATTCTTCGCCATTGAATCAGCCGCATGGTTAGCCTCTCTGTAGACGTGCTGTAGTGGCGGATCACCTGCTCTACTCAATAGGCATCTGCAATCATCAATTAGATTATAGGCACAGTCCTTATTATCAATTAGATTAATGAGCTCCTTACAATTCGTTTCAATAGTGAGAGGGAGGTAGTTGTTCTCTATAGCTAATTTCAGGATGTTTCCATGTAAATGTTGGTTGCATGTGAAATACCCATGTTGTATCCCGAAACTCATTCTCCATTGCCCCGTCTGATGATTCCTCCTATTCCACCTTTACCCGGATTTCCAAAGCACGATCCATCCACATTTAGTTTATAAATATTTTGTTGTGGCGGGTTCCATTTGATGAGGATGGTATCTCTAGTTATTGAGGATCAATTTTGATTTGTGGCCAGGAGTTTATATTCCATGGCTTTGTTAATACTGTTTTTTAATAGGAGATGTTTGCTAGTGTTGTTGAATATCGTCTCATTAGGGAAGGACATCAGACCAGACGAGATAGTCATTGAATCTAATGTTCGAGCTACTTTGAGCTTTTAACCAGATGTGCAATGTGTATTTGTCTGGTGGTTCTGGAGGGAGAAGTTTGAAGCCAACTTGGCCCCAGATAGTTTTGGAGTGCTTGCACCTAAAGAACATATACATTATATCTTCCCTCTCAATGCTACAAATGTTACAGGTTGGAGAGTTGGTGATGTTCCTGTTGAAGAGCATTTGTGATGTGGGGAGTTTATTATGGATAGTCGTCCAAAGGAAGAATTTTATTTTATTGAGAGTATTAATTTTCCATAGCCATTTGTAGTCTTGTGTGGCCCCCTCTTCTCTCCCTTGGAGCATTTCATAAGCTGATTTGATAGTGAAGATCCCATTGGTACTCTTACCCCAGCTATATTTATCTTCGATAGGTTGAAATTGCTTGATGTATGTGCTATTGATTTTGTTCTTAACCCCGATGGGAAACTGGAATGATAATTTGTTAAAGTTATAAGAATTATTTTCAATAATGTCTGCTAATGGTTGGTGTTGTTCATGATTCATTAATGGCCCTTGGATTTGGGCTCTTAGCGATTCCTTATTCTTCTTATTATCAAGAAAAAGTTAATTTTATTTTTTCAAAATTTGTTCTTATTTACATATTTCAATGTGTCAAGGTAACATGTAATTAAGGATAATTTAATGAATACATCTTTTTTTCTCTACAAGTTTGTATTTTCTTAAAGGGTGTGCCAAAAACTTAAAAGTCACTTATTATGGACCAGTGGAGTACCTTCGAGGACAATGTCGTTATGGGCCGTTTGGTTGAAAAGATGTTATCTCAGGATTAAACTAATCCCTAATTAGTTATTCCACCTTTTCATTGGGATTAAAAAATATTACAATCCCGGTATAATTAATCCCGAGATTAATTATACCACAATTTTCTCCCAACCAAACATGAAATAAACTATTCTTAAATTTAATCCTAGGATTAATTATTCCTTGTCCCTCATACCAAACGAGCCCTTAATGTATTCTCAAACTTTAAATAATTGATGCAAGTCAATGGATATTAAATTAAAAATTGTGAGTATTATAATTATAAATTATTTTTGACACATAAATATATATATAGACTTCGAATCCAAAATTAAAGTGACAAAATTACATAAAGTTATGATATAGTTTTCCAATAACTGCATTTGAACAATTGCGCCACCCTCTTTCGCGGCGTCGCGTTGCGCCGCAACCTTCACCCCCGCGGCAGACGTGTTTGTCTGACACAATAACAGAATTTCTCAACCAAAAAAGCCCCAAAAATATACGTATACGTATACGTACATATATACGAAATATACACGTAGTTGCAGGTAGAAGGAAGTTTTTGATTTTGAGGAAGAAAACAACAACAGAGATATACAAAGGGGGAGGTGGGGGCAATTGAGAATTGTCTCCTTCTCCCGAACTTTACGTTCCATTTTTTTCTTCTTCTTTGATATTGGGGTTGATATTAATACAATACAAAGCAGATTACAGATATCCAAAACATACAAAAATTCTATATATAGCACTTTTTCCACATTACCCTTTTTTCTCACTTTGTCTCTCTATTCCCATCCCTTAGTCTAGAACATTCCATGTTGTCAATGGCCTCTAAAACCCTACGTTTTGCTTGGGTGTAATCGGTTTTTTTTTTCTGTTATGGGTTCTTGTGGAAACGGAAGCCGGGTTGAAATGGAGAACGGTTGGAGTTTTTTGAGTTCTGATCCTTTAACAGTTACTGAGAATTGTTGGGCTGTTGCTGAAGAAGCTACAGAAGAAGTGGTGAATTGTCTTCATCCAACACTTGACACTGAGGAAAAGAGGAAAGACGTTATAGATTACGTCCAGAGTCTCATCAAATTCTCTCTTGGATGCGAGGTGAATCTTGAATGTCTAGATTATCTGTATAACTTAAATGTTTTGCAGCTAATTTTAAGTGATATCTCATAATTATTTTTCACGAGGCCTTTCGTCTTCATAGATTATTTGTTCCATTGCTATCTCAATGTTTTATCACGGTTTTTTATGCTTTCTATTGTATGACGAGGGTGTCCGTACCAGCTTGTGCGCACCTCTAATATTCTATCGAGTTAGAGTAACTCTGTTTATCAAGGCTTAGGTCAATGTGACGTCACCACCTAAGTGCTTTTTTCCCCGCAACGTTTGAATTTGAGACTTGATGGTTCTCCTCCCACTCTATTGACCACTCGCAACACCCTTGGGTTCAATCGTTTTAGCTTCTATTGATACCTTCTTTTTGAAAATAATGTGGGTGTGCTTGTGGGGGTGGGGTAGGGGCTTGGTCAACCTGCAGGAGGTCAGAAAATGATGTTTTACCTTTTATTTGATGTTTTCTTCATATCGGCTGAACAGATAAGGGTCGATTTAATGTTGTTTACAATCTCAGATTATATTCTGCCAATCTTAAGATGGTATGAATGCAAAGGGGGAGAAAAAGAGACCTAGATTTTCTTTTTCTTCTTTTTAGCATTACTGCTACAGTTTTACTAAAGTAAGCTTTTTTCTTTTAATAACAATGGCGTTTGCGTTACTTATTTGCCACCTTTTTTTATTTGATATGATGATGATATGTGTTGAGCTTAAAGAAATAAGTGAGGATTCATGTAGTCGATCCCAACCTGTTTGGGACTGAGGAGGTGTTGGTGTTTGTGTAAACTTGTGCCGACCTTGACTAATCCACCAAGTATCTGCTGTCTCTCACCAGCATAGGTACCGAGTCACCATGTTTAGGCAGATGAGAAGAATTTACTTAGTGTTCACTTTGCTAGGATTGGAACCTTGGTTCCCAAGGTTTTCTCTAGCTCTTCAACCTCGAGGGAATCCCCTCAGTTCTAGAATTATTACAAGTACTATTGTCGATTGTAGTGTTAAGCCCAAAATTTTGTTCTGGCAGCTTTACTCCTTACTTAAGTTCATGTACTTTCGGTAAACCAAGTTAGAAGAAGAAGAAGAATGGTAGTTAAAGATTTCATTGTCATGATTACTACAAAAAGTGTAACTACTTTGAATTGCGTTGTAATAGTTTTCACTTATAAAAGTGTAAACACTTTTTTGGCTAAGAGCATCGGGTCTTGACCTATTGCACTGCGTTAGAAGTGATGTTTTAGTAGTTGATCTGAGAGCTAGTAGTAATAAATAGCAGTAAGCTGTTTCTTTATGGGAGGGGCTGGCAATATTCACTTTTGTAACTACTTTTCTTTGGCTTGCTGGGTTGTTTAACGTCATTTTTAGTACGAAGAAGATGCCCGAAAATGGAGGCAGAGTACGATGATCCCGCTATACAAGAATAAGGGGGATGTCCAAAACTGCAACAACTATAGGGGTATCAAGTTGTTAAGCCATACGATGAAAGTGTGGGAGAGGGTGATTGAAGGGAGGTTGAGGAGGTGTGTGTCCATTCCCGAGAACCAGTTTGGTTTCATGCCGGGACGGTCGACCACTGAGGCCATTCATATTGTGAGGAGATTGGTGGAGCAGTTTAGGGCGGTGAAGAAGGATTTGCACATGGTGTTCACGGACCTGGAGAAGGCCTATGACAAAGTCCCTAGAGAGGTTTTATGGAGATGTTTGGAGGCTAGATGAGTGCCTGTAGCGTATATTAGAGTGATTCAGGACATGTATGATGGAGCTAAGACACGGGTTAGGTCAGCAAGTGGAGACTCAGATTACTTTCCGGTTGAGATGGGGTTGCATCAGGGATCAACACTTAGCCTGTTTTTGTTTTCCCTGGCATTGGATTCTTTGACACGTCACATTCAGGGGGAGGTGCCTTGGTGCTTGCTATTTGCGGATGACATAGTCTTGATTGATAAGACGCGAGGTGGCGTAAACGAGAGGCTGGAGGTCTGGAGACATACCCTGGAGTCTAAGGGTTTCAAGTTAAGCAGGACCAAGACAGAATACTTGGAGTGCAAATTCTGCGGTGTTATCCAGGAGGCGGATGGAGATGTGAAACTCGATACGCAAGTCATTGCCAGGAGAGAGAGTTTCAAGTATCTGGGATCTATAATTCAGAAGGATGGGGAGATAGATGAGGATGTCACACACCGTATCTAAACAGGGTGGATGAAGTGGAGGCTCGCTTCCGGTGTCTTGTGTGATAAGAATGTGCCGTTGAGACTTAAGAGTAAGTTCTACAAGGTAGTTGTTAGACCGACTATGTTGTATAGGGCAGAGTGTTGGCCAGTCAAAACCTCTCATGTTCAGCAGATGAGGGTAGCGGAAATGAGGATGTTGAGATGGATGTGTGTGCGTACTAGGTTGGATAGAATTAGGAATGAAGTTATTCGAGACAAGGTGGGAGTGGCCCTTGTGGAGGCAAAGATGCGTGAGGCAAGGTTGAGGTGGTTCGGGCATGTTAAGAGGAGAAGCGCAGATGCCCCTGTCAAGAGATGTGAGGGGTTGGCCTTAGCAGGTGTGAGGAGGGGTAGAGGTAGGCCAAAGAAGTCTTGGGGAGAGGTGATCAGACGGGACATGACGCTACTTGAGCTAACCGAGGACATGACTCTAGATAGAAGGGTGTGGAGGTTGAAGATTAAGGTAGAAGGTTAGTAGGTAGTCGTGCATCCCCCTTTATCTTCTCTAGCTCGATAGTATTAGCGCTAGTTCGGTACCCTTTTTTTTCCTTAGTTTCTATATTCGCATGTCTCGTTTCGTTGTTACTTGCCATTGGTAATTCCGTAGTTTGCTAGCAGTACTTCGTTCATATTCTCGTCTGCTGCCTTGGAATTAGTTTTCTGAATATGTTATCTTGTTGCTACTTGTTATCAGTACCCTTTCATATTACCTGTTGCTATCCCCGGTTTAGTTTTCTAATTATTGTTTTGCTATTACTTGCTACTTGGGCTTCTCCCACCTTCTGTAGCCGAGGGTCTATCGGAAACAGTCTCTCTGCCCTTCCAGGGTAGGGGTAAGGCTGCATACATCCTACCCTCCCCAGACCTAACTTGTGGGACCACACTGGGTTGTTTGTTGTTGTTGTTGTTGTAACTACTTTTCTTTCATTTCATGTCAAGTGATTTTTGTTCCTTTAAGCATTCTTTGTACACCTTTCAATCAATTCAACTTCAGGAAGCTAATTTCTGCTTTTAGTCAAACACATATGAGTTAAACTGAAATGCATGACTCATTTTTTATCTTTTCTTTTCTAAGTTCTTAGGAATTCTACATTTTCATAAGCAAATGCTATTAGATGCATAACTTAGTCGATAATGAATCTGATCGTTCCAGCCGCTAAATTGAGTAAGTCTATACATTTGAAGTATTCAAGTCTTCTCTTGCTTTATTTGTTCACAGAATGGTTGAACATCCTTTTCTCTTTAAATTATGTCCTGCTACCTTAGGTGCATCAGCTTCAATATTGCGTAGTCTGGTGTGCTTGAACTTGAAAGCTAAGCTTATATAAGATCACATGTTGTGCTTGAACTATGTGATTTCTGTTCATGTTTACTAACTGATGAAGCTTGAATGATGTTGTTCAGACCTTAAACTGAAATAGTTTGTAAGTTCTATCTTGCGTTTCAGTATCTTAATTGAGTTTTACTGATGGTACTTGTTTGTCGTACAGGTCTTCCCATATGGATCAGTGCCACTGAAGACCTACCTTCCTGATGGTGACATTGATTTGACTGTTTTTAGCAGTTCTATTACAGAAGAAACATTGGGCCGTGATGTTCTTGCTGTTCTGCAGGAAGAAGAGCAAAAAGAAGATGCTGAGTATGATGTCAGGGATACCCAATTTATTGATGCTGAGGTTCTTTCCTGACTAATAATGACAAGTGTATTCAAACCTTCAGAATCTGTAAAACGAACTGAATTGGATGAAGTATTTCACTGTTCTTTGCTGTTTCAAATAGTTCGAAGAGTTTTCATTTCGATATCCTGCAGCCTAAGGATAGTTGAGCATAAGCAAATGTTTTTTTTCCATGCCTAGTAATTTTGGGGGTAGGGGGAGGCTTGTGCTTTTAGTTGCTTGAAGAATGTTTATTGTATTTGAAGGTTGTTTTGTAGAGTCTGTAATACTGTCTATTGGTTGGCTATCAATAGTAGTTTACTATTTTTATGCTTAACTGATAATTTTTTATCTGTTTAGTATTGAGACGTTTGGAATTTCTCATGGCAGGTTAAGCTGGTGAAATGTCTTGTACAAAATACTGTGATAGATATATCCTTTAATCAGTTAGGAGGACTTTGCACACTTTGTTTCCTTGAGCAGGTAATTTACAAAGTTGACTTTTAACAATCAAATTTTTATCATTATATTATAGGTGCTTGGTTGCAGGTGTCAATGACAGTGTGTCAATTTAATAGTGCCATTGTGCTTTACTTTTTGTTACATAGACTATTATGTGCAAAATTTTAGCATGTCTTGGTTAAGCTGAAGCAGCTGTAAGTGGAAAATGGTGGGTGTTGACATCCATATATCCCTCCTTTCTGCAGTATTATCCAATTTGTGCTTAAAATGAACTATATTTTAGCTTTCTAAACAAAAAAATCTGATAGCCTTTAGTTGTTTATTTGTCTCTGTCAGCTTAATGTCTTTTTAAACTGTCTGGAGTTTTTCATTCATTATCCTTCTATTACCTGCAAAAACTTGGAGAACCAAATATCTCCCGTTTTATTTTAGTCGATATTTTTTATTCTTCTGTTTTCATGTTGATCGAGGCAATGAGCAGCTGATTTTTCTTGTTGTTGGCTTCTTTGTTTCTTGAGCGCAGGTAGATCGTCTTGTTGGGAAAAATCATCTCTTCAAACGTAGTATTATTTTGATAAAGGCTTGGTGCTATTATGAAAGTCGTATTCTTGGTGCACATCATGGTCTGATTTCCACATATGCTTTGGAAACACTGGTCTTATTTATATTCCATCAGTTCCATTCTTCGTTAAATGGTCCTCTAGCGGTAATTACTTGTTTTGGTGCATTTTGACTTTGTGCATTATGCTTTGTGCATAAGTTTATTGGATATCCTGTTTATGCTTGATTTTAGGTTCTCTATAGATTTTTGGATTACTACAGCAAATTTGATTGGGACAACTATTGTATCAGTTTGAATGGTCCAATATGCAAATCATCTCCTGACATATTAGGTAGGCAATGCCCTTCCTTTCATCTTTGATGTTGCCTGCAATCTCTTTTCGATGTCTACGGCCTTGTATAGATTAATTTTTTGTACTCATACGTGAGCTTTCAAAGAG